GCATCGAAGAACTTGGCTTGTCCCTCCAAGTGATTGAAGCAGTCGGTGATGAATCGGGGGAAATGTAGACTTGTACTACTGCACGGTATCGGAATCACGTTTTCTAGTCCACAAGTCCACTATTCTGCTGTGTTGTGTTTTCTATCCATGATTCTTGGACCCAGGCTCCAAGCCCGCCCCACCCGCCCGTGTTGCCGAACCAAAATAGATCTGCCCTGCCAAATATAATAGTTTTGGCTCTGCTGGTTGCTGGACATGGATGAATTCGAGGACAGTGCTCGACCAGCCAACTAGGTGGTACTGCTCGACTTGACTCCAAGAGTTCTGATGTAGCTGCTACTGCTTTTTCTCCACTGCATTGATTTCCCTTTCTTTTGTACCGTACAGTACGGTAGTAGCCACAGATCCGGAGTCCAAATGTGGTTTTAGTTAGCCAGACTGGCTAGCTCGGTACAGTAGTCTAGCTAATCAGCTTGATCTGGAATAAGTTGCACTCTTGCCGCGAATGATACAAGACCATCATCATGCACAGCCACTGACAGGATCCCTCCGCCTGCTTCCGGGCTGCCAGAGGCACAACTGGCTGTTAGGTTTGTGAGGCGAAGATCTGTGCTGTACATCATGGCATCATGGTCTGTGCCAGTCTCCGGTACGGAAAGCATTCACGAGATGGAGACTTTACTATAGGAGCAACAGTAAACATAAAAAATGATCCAGAGAGGATTCTTTAAATAATAGAAGAAGCACCGTCTTGATTTGTGTCTCATTTTGACCACGGATCACGGATCACTACTGCAGGGAACAAATGCATTATAAGTACCATATTTGAATAACCAATTGCTTCTCCTCTTACTTAACAACAAGATAAAAAGAGCATTCATCCATAGTGGTACGGAGCTCATCCAGTAAAAGTCACTCCAAAATCGACCCCACCATCTCATTTGTTTTACTAGTATGGCGTCATGGCGTCAATCCTGTCGTCCTGAATGGTGCAGTACGAAATCTGCAAGCAGCAGCACTTCTTTCCTCATTTGACATCCAGTCCAAACTCTCCTGTAGTATCCGACTTGTTTGTCAAGCTCACCAGGTTACCATGTCGTCGTCCCCTTTCTCCACTAACAGTAGCAACGGCGCAAAGAGATGCAACATTTCGGTGGATGGGGAATCGTTTGACATTACGAATCTGTTGGAAGAACTGCCCACTACTAGTACTACTAGCGATGGTCACGACGATGATGACAAGCGCGACGCGTTGAAAAAGAACTATCCGAGTATTGGCAAATTGTTGGCGCAATCGAGTCATCACAAACTTCGCGCCAGCTTTTTGGGGCGCGAAGACAGTTTCGTGTTTCCCACTTCTTCCAGTCATCATCAGACGGGTGTGCCCGGTTTGTCGGAACTGAACGAATCCATGAGTTCCTTTAGCGAATCCCACGGATTCCTCGAAGGATCCAGTTGGCATAATACTACACTACTACTTGTAGTGATGACGACCGCAAGATGCCCGCCAACGAAATCGAAGTTTCTCCGGGTGTCTTTTTGCCGTTTCGCGGTTCGGACGAAACCTGGCGGGCCATTCGAGACGGCAAGCACTGTTGCGTCGTGTGCTTTGATTGCTCTCTCGAGTTGGTGGCTGCTAGAGACTGTGCCCATGTCGTCTGTCCCGAATGTCATACCGTCAATCCCCTCTCTCTCGATCATCATTCCTCCGGATCCCAGCATTTTGGGGTACTCATGGGATTCAAGAAACAGTGGTGTGGGGAATATTTCAAGGATGAAACTACAGGAGGTTGAAGAAAAAAGATCAATAGTTGGACAGGAATTGGAATTGGAATGGATCGATGGTGTACGGCAAGGCAAGGCAAAGCACTGCAAGGCAAAAACACAAACTTTAGGAGAATCATAAAGTCTGGGACAACAAACGTCTCAATCGTTAGCGGCAAACGTCCGAGATTTGTGCATGTAATCATAGTAAGAAGCTTCATTTTTTTTTAAAACTCTGGGATGGGCCTGTCGCTCCTCGCCCTCGGAGGTTGCTCTCCATTACTCGGGCTGAGCGTTTTTCAAAATTCGCATGATCTGTTTTGCTTTGGTTAGTATCCAATGATCTGATGTATGTAAAGGAAAATTCTAGCTAGCAAGTAGATGTAGATGAGATCGGTACCGGTACCCGCCTCCAAAGAATCACGAGCGACTCTCACTCGACTCGACGGACCCTCAACTCGCAAAGAGGTCGATGAACTGTTCCGCCTCAGCAATAACTGCTGTTTGGTCAGGTGTTTTCAAACCTGACTGGATGCGCTCGGAACATGGCTGTGCGTCTGCACGCTGCTGATCGACCAAAGCCAGCTACCGAAACAGAATCGATGCGAGTACGGTACGGTGCTCGCCACGAGCGACTCGACTCGATTCGAACGGGCCCGAAAGGGGTTGCTCCGCGGGGTGATGTTTGGTCCTTTGTGTTCAAACCTGACGGGGTGCGCTCGGTCCATCGGCTATTCGTCTGCACGCTGCTGATCGACCAAGCCAATTATTAGACTACAGGATCTTTTTCGAGTTTCGTTTCGTGTCACCCTTTCCCTTGACCCGTCGATGCACGTGCGTCCGACCAAGTTACCTGCATGGATCTGGTGGCGTTTCGACCCGTCGTGGCACTTGTGTCCTGGCTGCGCTGTTTTTGTTGTTGTTGTTCGTCTTGTGTGTGTCTGCAATATATAATAAACGTAACTACCAATGAATATGATGCATGGATCCTTCATGACAGGAACACTCACTGGTACAATTGCTAAAATTGGTGTCACAACCACCAAACGCATCCAACTCCATCTCCATACAAGGACATCGATGGCCCAATTGACATTCGGTAACAATGACAAGATTGTCTCGTGGACACAATTCATCCGGTATCGGTCCAGTAATGTAATTTCCATACACCTCCAGTGCCGTGAGTGTTGTCAGTAGTCCCAATTCACTGGGCAATTGTCCTCGGAAATTGTTTTCAAATAATTTGATGGTGTGTATTTGTGAAAAGCGTCCCATATCGGTCACTATCGTCCCGTACAAGCTATTGAGACTCAAATCGAGATAGTGAAGGGATGTCAATGCTTGCCCCAGTTCTCGTGGGATGGTTCCTTCCAATTGATGATTGCCATGCAAATCTAAATGAGTCAAATGCGTCAACAATCCCAATTCGGTCGGCAATGTTCCCGTGAGAGCATTGTCACTCAAATCCAAATACTGCAAGAGTGTCAGTAATCCCAAATCGGCAGCTTGCAAATTTCCCGTCAATGCGTTGTTGTGCAAATCGAGATGAGTCATGTTGGGTGCCAATTGTGTAAAATTGGGCACGACACCCGCCAGGAGCGCATTGTTGGTGACAAAGAGTCCTTGCAAATGTTGGAGTGGCGATGTCGCTTCCGGATCTTCTTCCAAATCGGGAAAGGGCAATAATTCCGTCAATGGATGATGATAGGCACTCATATTGTTGAGTTCCAAAATGGCGAGATCCGACAACAATTGCATTTCATTGGGGACACTGCCGTTGACAATATTGGCATTGTTTTGGAATTGTATCCACGTGACCATGGAAGCGTTGTTGTTGTCATTACACATGGAAATGTTATTGGTTTGATTCCACCAGTAGCATTCATTGACATCGTAGCTCAACCAATAGCCCTGTTCGTCGGGCGTCCAATCGTTGTATTCCATCGAGTAACACAACGTGGCCAATGCAAAGACTTGTTTCTTGCGTTCCGAATGTTTGGGATTTTCCAAACTGGCAAACTGGGGATGTCCGCGATACCACTGATACGCTTCGGCTTGGGGCGTTTCGACACTGCCCGATAAGTAGAACATGAGTATAATCCAGAGCGCCAATCCAAAGGTCCCCATCCACCAGAGGGGAATCTTGAACTGCAAACAACAAATGCACCACCACGGATTTCGTTCTTTCAAAATGTCGGGAGCTGTGTGATCCCCACCACTATTGTTGTCATCATGACTGGTCAATGACACTTGTTCACTAATGTGATGTTGATGACCACCTACAGCAGGATGATGGGAATGCTTGGTATGGGAGTGTGTCTGCTTGTGAGGAGGATGACTTTGTTGATGAACACGCAACACCTGCAATTCTTCATCGTCGCTAGTAGAAAGGTCATCGTCGTCACATCGTTTGCGCGTATGATCAATCAGTGTCGCAGAATCATCGTCACGCCTCTTTTTCTCGGCGGCGCGTTGTCGACTACTACTGGTTTGGAGATGACCGCCTCCATTCCATTTGCTAGTTGGATGTTTGTGTCGGCGACTACTGCGGCCAATCACTTCCGCTTCTTCATCGGCCCACGGTTCTTGGGGCAAACTGTCCATTGACTCGTGGCTTTGAAACGCACGAGATCGAGTAGTAGTTGTAGTCGGACCAACGTGACGGCGGTGTCGACCAGAACCAGCGGCTGCCATGGTGGATCACAACAATAGTACTGTAGTAGTAGTAGTATGGTAATTGAAGAGAGAGACAACAGCGAGAAAGAACAAACGACTTTTGCCTTGTCGAGGCCGTTGTTGGAATGGTTGTTGCTTGTTGGGGGTCGTGTGGCGGGTGGCGGGTGGCTTCAACTTTAACAAATTACACTTTCCACGCTGTACTACTGTACCATACCGGTAGCTAGTACCAGGTACCGCTGGTTACCTGGCACTGCACCTCGCGGTAAACAGCTCAATTTGTGGATTATTTGAGTAAAAACATCATTTTTGATGATTTCCATTTCCTGAGCCGGCATAGCCTTAAGTCATATAAGACAGCTGTAAGACAATCCACTTAATCGTCTGACAGTCATCTGACAACTGTCTTAAGACAATTCCATCAGACAGTTTCTTCAGACGATTAATGGCGACCTTCAGACGATTCTTCAGACGATTATTGGCGATGACTCGGATCTCTGGTTCCTCAGCAGCACAGTCAGTGCGCAGTACCGGGAATGACTTGGGATCGTCTGAAAAGGATTTAGCGATTGTCTGACAAGGATGTATCAATCGTCTGGCAATCGTCTGACAACTGACAACTATCTGACATGTAGAAGGCTTCTCTTCAGACGATTATCAGACGATTCTCCTCTTTGAGCAAGCATGTCCTTCTTTAAATCTGTCATTTTACTCTTTTTCAACCAAATGACTCTTTTCCACCTTTTACCGCGAGGTGCTGTTAGATACCGGTATGTAGTACATGTAGTCTACTAGTACTACAAGTAGCTAGAAACATAGATCTGCGATATCCAGGCAAAGCTGCCAATACTACTCTAGGTAGGTAGGATCGGGGAGGGGTTATGCTCTGGACCGTTCCAATATGTTGTTGCAGCAAAATCATCTACGTACCGTAGGCATCCAGCCATGGAGGCAAAGAAGAAGCTATGCATGAATACAATTAGTTTATGTTTATTTGCGCTTGCACCTCGCGGTAAATGACCTCCACCACTTTTCTTTGCAGTCATTTATCAAAACAATGTAAATTTCCTTTTCTTCTTTTTTTTGAAGAGCAAACCATGCCTCTATAAAGAGCATGCAAGTCATGGCTCAGCCGGTGCAGGGCTACAATGGATCACTGGCTTCTGTTCTTGGGAACACTGGCTTTGAAGTCAGTGTTCCGAAAATGGAAGCCAGAAGGAAGCCAGTGATCCGAGGAACAGTGGCTTCTCAATTTTCGGATCGAAGCCAGTAATCGATTGTGTTCTTGCCACGTGGGCTCCCTTTAGCGATCAGCTCGTGCCGGTTTTCCAAGGTTCCGGGCTGTCACTCGTGAATAATGCTTTGGGCGACGCCACTGGCGATCTGGACTACAGTCCGCCCTGGTTGCATGCTTTGTCACAAGCAAGAAACCCACGCTTTATTCTTCCCCCCCTCGCCACCTAAAAAGCTGCTGCATTGGAGACAAAATGAACGACACCAATGATTTGGCAGATCAAATCCTCATTCATGGGCTTAAATTGATGTACAATGAGAGTAGAATCAATAGGGTAAAAGGTGATCCCTACAAATCAACCACTAACATCCAACGCTTCAAAGATCACTACGGAGCCATACCAGTAGTTGTGGCAAACATTTGGGAGGATCTTCAAACCACTACTGTAGCTGAGGGGCGCATTGACAACCCCAAGATGCTTTCCATTACTCGTTTGTTGGAGTCGCTTCACTTCCTCTACCGCTACCACACTGAATCGGAACGGGAAGCACGGTATGATAGATCAAAGAAGACAATCCGGAAGTGGACTTGGTACTACCTCAAGAAGATTAGATCCTTGAAGGCTGACAAGATTATCTTTCCAGTTCAGTACCCTGATGATGACGTTTGGATCATGAGTGTGGATGGAACTCACTGCATTATTGATGAACCAATCCATCCTTTGTTCTCCCAAGATCGGGAATACTTCTCTCACAAGAAGAAGCATGCTGGGCTGTGCTATGAACTGGGTATTGACCTCTTTGAGAGCAGGCTGATTTGGATGAATGGACCTTTCCGCGCCGGATCAAATGACAATGGGAACTTTGTCCAGGGTGGATTGAAGAATGTACTCAATGCAATTGGGAAGAAAGCCTTAGGTGACAAGATCTACAATGGACACCCAGATGAATGCAGCACCTTCAATGCATTTGACTCTCCTGCTGTCAAGTCATTCAAGAGTAGAGTTCAGATGCGCCACGAGCAGTTCAATGGAATGTTGAAAGAGTTTCGCTGCCTGTTTCACCAATTCCGCCATGGCATGGAGAAGTTTGGGATCTGCTTTGAGGCCTCCGCTGTGGTTTGCCAATACCGGCTGGAGCACGGTGAGCCACTCTTTGATCTTCTTGCAGGGATTAGTCTAGATGCTGAGTAAATAATAGTCTTAGTATGTTTTATTTAGAATTCTCTGCTAGCTAATAGTGCTTGCTGTTGCCGTGGACTGCCCTAGCTCTCTATATCTGTTTTGTCACTTCCTCAATAATCAATTGAAGGACCTTCTGGGCGTCGCTGTCATATCCACGGTATTTGACAGCAGAAAGTGCCTTTTTGCAGTTCTGTTCCAGCCGCTCTACTCCCACATAGTTCGGTTCTAGCACTGACTCTAAGAAAGCCATGGTCGGCACAAAGGAAGATTGCTGCAACTCATGCAACCACACGCTGACGATGTTGTTGATATGTTCGATTTTCAAAGGCGCCGCCCCTGGTTGTGCCCGTTTAGGGAGAAACCCTAGCTTCCGGGCACCTGCTTCAGCACGCTCACCCCTCAAATTCACTTTCATCTTTTTGACACCTGCTTGGATGCCATATTTCACAGCCAAGTCGGTTGCCAGTTGCTGAGCCAATTGAAATTTGTATGTGTGGGCAGCAATCCAAGCATCGTCAGCAGGTTTGACATATCTTGTAGAACCCGGAGCTTTGGGAGTGGGTCCTGCAAAGGGAGATCATTTGCAGATGGCATCTGCATGCTTTTGGTAGTAGCAGTAATCTGCTCTTCCGTAGCAGTGAGATCAACAATATCGATGTTGGCAAAGTCCACATGGGTCTTTGGTTGTGGTTTGCATGGGGTGACTCTGGCAGGGGCGGCCGTAGCAGCTGTGGCTGTAGCTGGGGCCGTAGCAGTGGTGGCTGTAGCTGGGGCCGTAGCAGTGGTGGCTGTAGCTGCGGTAGCGGTGGTGGCTGGAGCTGCGGCTGGAGAAGTGGCCGTTACGGACTTTGCCACGGACCTGGCTGGAGGAGTTGCAACAGTGGCTTGTACCGTGGTGGTCATTGCTGCATTGGCTGTGGCATCTTCACCATCGGAGTCATTGATTGCAGCCACATCGGCCTCCTCTTCTTCCGACTCATCCATATCATCGTGATCGTCACGCTTGCGTTTTCCAGCTTGTGCTGCCTGTTTTGCCTGTGCTGCCGCCTCCTTTTCAGCTCTCTTCCTGGCTGCCGCTGCCTTCTTCTCAGCTTTATCCTCCTGCTTCTGACGAGCCTGGGTTTCTGATGTTGTCTCAGGCATCACAAGATCTTGGATCCATGAATAGGTTTTAAGTTGGTACTGGTCGTTTGTGGGGATTTTTGTGTTCCATTCAACAAGGCTGTTGAATCCATGACGAGGGGTCTTGTAGTCTTTCTGCGCATTCGTAAGATGAGCCACAGCTTTCAGAAGTGCGGTCAAACCTCTGTCTGGATTCTTGAACCAGCCCTCACCGTTAAGCGAAAATCCAAGCCTACCCAGTATCTCCCGGCCTAGCTTCTTCCGATACTCCACAACCAACTCATCAATGAGACGATTGGCAGCTTTCTGGGAAGTAGCCCTCTCCTTTGATTGTTGCAACAGTTTTCTGAGCAGCCTCTTGCTTGTTGAGTTCATCATTTAAAACCCAAACAATGCGGCCAATGTTGTGTCCAATTCCAAAGTGTACTCCCCAAAGATCAGCCGAAACAACTCTGACAGACTTGTTTTGGTGCACCAGAACGAAGGATGCATTCTTTACATGCTTTTTTATCAATGCATCCCAGCCATTCTTGGTACTACCAAACATGGCTCCAACCAACCTGCTTTCTGAATCCCTTATTCGATTCAATAGGACCTTGGGCATCTTCCAGTTCCAATCATCTTTGTCCAGGAGTCTTTTGCGAAGTTCTTGGATGTGCCCATGGTCCATTGGTAGCAGTGCATCATCGTCATCGAAGCCAGAAATAAGAGCTGGCAAACTCATGGTGTGGAGTAACAGATCAGCATAGCTGGGCCTTTCAATTGGACCATGATAGCGCTCATATTTGATATTATATTCCCAGAAGGCCATCCACATGGGATCAGGAGTGGATACCCTCAATCTCTGCGTAATGTTGGTTTGTTGACTGGTTTGGCGCCCTCGGCCACCACCACGGCCACTGCCAGGGCCACCGCCACGGCCACCACCACGGCCACCACCATGACCGGAAGCACCACCACGACCGGAAGCACCACGGCTGGAAGCACCACGGCCAGAGGCACCACGGCTACCGCCAACACCATGGCCAACATTATGGCCACCAGCGGTACCGGTAAGAGTTTTGCGACCAGGCATTTTGCGTCTTTGTTGAGAGCGAGGAGCAGATTATGAGACCTCAGTGAAGGTGTGGCTGGTGTCGACGAGTGAATTCAATGGTTTTGATTGAACCTCAGCCAGCGAGGAAGGTGTGGTTTCGATGACGAGTGAATTGTTTTGATGGAAAGCAACGCTACGCCGGAAAGTGGAATACTACGTTGCGCCAACACGGTCGAGCCAACACGGTCGAGCCAAATCATTACTAGCTAGTACCAATCGAATCGGAAAGTCGAGCCAATCTACCCCCGTTTTCCTACATATATTACTCGATAGCAAAAAGCCCGTTTTTCCGGAACAGGGTTACACCGTGGGCTGGAAAGTTCCAAGAGAGCAAGCTAGCTAGCTAGAGCACCGCTAGCTAGCGATGAATCGAATCCAATCATTCGAATCATTCAGTAGTCAAATCGAATCGAAAATGACTCATTCAATAGAATTCAATCGAATCGAATCGAATCGAATCGAATCTTCGATCGCCCGCCCATCAGCCAGTCACGCACCTCTTGGGACTGCCAGCCTGCCTCCCGGAGGGCTGGCCAGCTTTCCACGGAGGTGCAAGGTTTGGTCCCACGTGTGTCACATCAATCGCTAAGGGCGTTTTGTCCCAATAGCCGTTTTTGCTAGTCCTTTTTTCCAGCCACGACAGGATCCAAGCCTCGCCAACCACTCGTGGCATTTCTCGCACCCTCATTATTCCGCAGAAAATGGACTCACAAACTCAAGACAATTTCAAGGGACCTTCGGCAGAAAAAGGACTCCCCATTGATATCCGCAGACAACTAGCCAAGGATATAGAATTGGCTGGAGGCATACAGACCTTTGAAAACAGTGTTTATTCCCTTGACGATCTTCTCAAAGGCAAAGAGATCATATACGGTGAACGAGGAAGCAGAAGACGCAAACAAATCAGAAACGTGGTTTTTCGGTGGAGGAAGTACAACAAGGAGAAATACTACCAAGCAGTGTATATTCCCTTGGTCCTTCAGCAAAACATAAAGTGGTCTGAACCAAACAGCATCCCTGATACCCCAGATACCAGCAGCAGCATTCAAGACGACAAATTTGGCGACAACTCCAAAACTGAGCCAGACCCGCAACCAGCACAACCAAACCGATCTCCAAAGCCAATCTTAACCAAGCCTGTTACCACCAAGCTTGCATCCTCAATCTTTGAGATACCGATGTTGGTTGCTAGTAACACTCTAGCTTAGTAAAGGTAAAATACTGTTTTACTGTTAAGCTATTTCCAAGAAGTGATCTTTCTCCATGTTTTCTGGGATTGATTCAACTTCAAAGGATATAGTGAAGGGGGTGACCATATAGATCAGTTAAACTCCCCATGTATGTAACTAGAGAATAGATATAGATATCCCCTATCAACTAGATTGGGATAAACGACTAATTTGTATTGAGGTGTCTGTAATACAACCTCCAACACACTCCTGCACGGTTCCATAAAGGATACCGTGGAACGAATAATTAATGTAATGATGGTTGCTCCATAAGGAACAGTTGTTGGTCGAGGGAGACCAATTGCTAGGTTGCTCGGCATTCCGCTTGGTGGCGAGAAGCTTGTCATCCATAGCAATGCTGACAAATCTGTCACAGTCAATGTGGACATGTGGACAGTGTCGTCATGAAAAGCCACTGTGGCTACCACTCCTGTGAGTGTTGCCACTCCTGTATGACTTGCTGTGGCAGTTGGTGCCGTCACTTGATGTTGCTGTATTCGAAACTGGGAAGTTCCGATCACTTGTTGAACCGTGGACTGGGAAGTTCCGGTCACTTGGTGTTGCTGTAGCTGGAAACTAGGAAGTTCCGGCTGCATTCTCGTAGACTCAAACTGTGCTCTTGACTGGCGGTGTAGACTGAACTGGACATCGATATGCCATGGTCTCAATCGCCAATGATGTGTGGAAACATCAATCCATTCAGGCTTGATACTGGATTTGGAAATCAGGTGAGCATGAGTCTGTGCAGTAGCTTGGTAGCTATCTGGAGCCAGCTTGTTGTCCATTTGGAATGGAACGTGAGCTGTCTCTTCTTGTTGGATGTCCAAGAAGTGTTGGATGTCCTGCTGTTGTCTTTTCCAGAGGAATGGAATCCTCTTCTTCCCAGCTGGGGAAGCTTCTTCCTTCATCACGGCCTCCTTTTCTTTGGAATCGAATGGCTGTGACTTGCTGTACATGAATGTGTGCTTGCTTGATGTGGACCTTGGTTTGCACCTATTGTAGATGGGTGCTGGCAACTTGTGGCGTTCCGTCGAACTGTTGCTTGCTTTGAGCTGGTTCCATGGTGGAACTGCTCCTGTGGAACTGTGGGAATCCTCTGCAGAAGATATCCCGGTAGCACTGGTGTGTGGCTACCCTGGTTTGAGTAAGCTTGCTCTGCCTCGATAGGCTTCTGTGGTCGCACTTGCAATCTCATGATGGATCTTCTGAGTCGATCGCGAGAGTCAAACTGAATCGATCTCGTGGTCGCTGCTTGTGATTCGATCGCTTCGTGTCATTCGATCTGGCATGATCGTTTCTTGTCAGTTGATCTGGTGTGTCAATCTGGATAGATCGATCGGAGAATTCAAAGGAAGGTTGAAAAAGGTTTGAGACTTTGGTTTTGGTGGGTACAACTTTATCAATACCACTCCTGCTGTCACTGTTGGCACACTCCTGTGAGCTAACTGTGGCAGGACTTGTACTTGTTGTAGCCAAAGCTGGCTTGGTTGGTTTGGACATTGGATGCACCTTGGGGTGGTTATGGAGCTAGAGGTGGTTCCTCTAAGATTCCTGAGAATCGATAGCACTCAAAGTGTCTATCTGTGCTTGGGTAAGCAGGCTCCTGCCTTGGGAAGGCTGGCAATCCAGTCTCGCGTCGTCGTGTCGACTGGCTTGCAATGAGTCCAAAACAAACCTTGGAAGTAGTTGCTCGGCATCCCGCTTGGTAACGAGAAGCTGAGCGGTGGAGATGAGACAATACGGACATTGTCATCATCAGAAAAGTCTTTGTGGCTGGCACTCCTGCTGAGAGTGATGCCACTCCTGGAAGACTGGTGTCGGATGATACCGTCACTTGGTGTACCTGCGGCTCGAACTGGGAAGTTCGGCTGCATTGACACTTGATGGGGCTGGAAGCCCTTCGTAGATGGAAGCTGGTTGAAGCTTCTGGAAGTCGTAGACTTGTGGGAAGTGATGCCCTATTGGAAGGTGCATGGAAGCTGGAAATGATGTAGCTTGGAAGTCACGGACTTGTTGGGTTCGACTGAATCTAGTTCTTGGATGGTCTCGATGTCTGAAGATGGAATGAGGAAATGGTTGAGTTATTGTTTCCTCTTGTCATAGTTGTTTATACTCATGTGAGACTCGTGACTGCTGGTGTCGTCACTTGTGGTGACTGGTGCCGTCACTTGGTACACTTGGTACCGTCATTTGGTGTTGCCGTAGCTGAGACTGGGAAGTCAGGCTATAGCAACACTTGGGAGAACTGTTGTAGTAGCTGGAACTAGGAGGAAGTTCCTTGCCACAATGATACTTTGAGTTGGGGCTAGAAGCCCTTGGAAGTTTGGATACTTGTAAGGAAGTATTCGGTAGTGGTTGTGGATGCTCCAACTTGATGGGCTCCACTGGACCTGGACGTGTCACGGTCGATGATAGTTCGATGGTGATGTAGTCGGTAGATCCTTTGGTTGGTGATGTCACTGCTCTTACACTTCTGTGAGCAGGCTGTGGCAGGACAAGTGTTGGTTCTGTCACTGCTCTTACACTCCTGTGAGCAGGCTGTGACAGGACTTGTAGTTGTCCATAGTTGTATCTATGGTTGGCTTGATTTGATGTACTCACGTACTTCTGTTGTTGGTGTGAGACTAAGGTTGGTTGCAATCTCTGTACAGTAGTTGCAGTGGAGCTGAGGTGTGCACCCTCTTGTTGTTTCTATTGATCAGGTTCCCACTTGTGGGTCAAACTCTGTCTGCTCCAGCCATCCTGTGGCTTTGTTCCTTGTCTTGTGAACTCTTGAGTTGCTTGTAGCTAGCTACTCGGTTCAACGTTCACTATTGTTCTGCTGTTGTTGCAGTTGCCATTACTGTAGATGTAATTCTGGTTTGGTTGGGTCGATTTCGTTGTAATCGGTTTGGTAGCGGTAGATACCGTTGTTGGCTGTTGTTGTAGCCATTGATGGTTGTGGGCTGTGTAGTTGTGGCCATTGGTGGTTACGGCATTGCCTATAAAGGCGGATGTTATGATGATTTTGTTTGTAGGATTGTAGGTTTTGGATTTGGGTACCATCACACTCCTGTGCACTTGCTGTGATCAAATAGCAAGGGCATGGACTTGTAATGATATCGTTGTTACCTGCCTGGAGGCTGGTGTTGCCTCAGGTTTACCCGTTGATCAAGGGAGGAGGTGCTGTGCCATGGCACAATGCACACTCCAAAGAAATGGTAGTAGTATAGGAGGTGCTGTGGCTGAGATGCCACAATACACACTCGATGAAATGGTAGGAGGTGCTGAGTTTAAACTCAATACACACTCCAAAGAAAGGGGAGGAGGTGCTGAGTGTAAACTCAATACACACTCCACAGAAATTATTCAATGCTGGCGGAAGCACTCCTGTGCTGCCGATAGCTTGCTGCACTGCTTCCATGTGGCTTGCACTGGATGTGCTACGCTCCATACCAGTAGCTAGCTAGCTATCTGGTGCAGGACATGCTCCGGCACAGGACCAGTGCCGGTGGCATAGGACCAGTGCCGGTGGCATGCGTCGTGTGCTTTTGGATTGACCGTAAGTACGGAGAGATCCTCTTGTTGCATTCCGACGTACGGAGAGATCGTGAGATCTGGCTCTGTATGCTCCTGGAAAGATATCCCGAAAGATACCTTTTTTGTTGTTGTGACGTTCAGTAGCTGTGGTTGTTTGGCCGCTGAACTGCTTGGCTTGTTCTTTGCCATTCCGTCGAACTCCATGGTTGCTGTCAGCGATTTCCTCACAAAAAACAATGGCTTCTTCTGCCGACAACAGTTGCCAACACTCTGCTGTTGCCGACGCTGTTGTCGCTATTGTTGACCAATGGCGGTAACAGTAGCGGTAGTGACTGACTAGTAGTAGCGGTCGTCGTCTTGCTTGTTGTTCTTGTTGTTGCAGCAGTAGTGGTGCGATGACTCGTTGATCTTGTTCTTGTAGCAGTAGCTGTCGTCCTTCGATCACTGGCTGCTGCTTGTTGTTCTTGTTGATGATCGTGGCCGTTCAATCGTTTTGGTCCTCTTGTTGTTGGCTGGTGGAATTTGCAAGCAAATTCCCTGTTATTATCTAGCTTGCTGCCGACGGTCGCAACTGTTTCCGCAGTTGCCTGCGGTGATGCCGTCCACTCTTGTTCACCGTAGCAGTACTAGTAGTGAGCGACTGGCTAGTTGTAGTAGCCGTCGTTGTTCTTGTTCCTGTAGTAGTAGCCGTTGTCGTGGCTCGATCCATTGATCGTTGACTGGCTGCTGCTTCGGATTTCTTTCAATTTTGGTTGAACGCACGGGGGATGCAACTCGGTTCCTGTTGCATTCGAGGGCTTGCACTCTTCAGGCCTTGTCCTCTGGTGCTCAAAGGACACCTTGTTGTATGACAGTCCCGCCGTTCGTTGCCTTGTAATCACCCTGGTAATTTGGCTTGTTGTGCGTTGGAATTTTCCGTCGCACCTCTCCTCTATCAGCACTGCTTCGGTGGCTTGATAGCGAGGATAGGAACTCCCGCGGAAGTACCTCTTCGGCGATTCCTCTTCCTGTTGGAACTTGTTATCTTGTTCCTCTTCCGTGGCAACAACACTTGTGGTGTCGCTCCTGTTGGCTTGCTCCGTTATCGTACGACCGCAGTATGTTCTCTGCCTGCCTCGTACGTCGTACAGTATCCTTGCGGTAGCTCCGGTTCACACCGGAAGTGCTGTTTTCTTGCGCAGTAGCGTACTTCCTTGTTGGACTCGTTGTGGCTGGTAGCTAGATAGCTTGGCGACACTCTTGAGTCTTCTTGTAGTTGTTTTTCCATGTCGGTACTGCGCTTAGCAGTCGTACCGTACGATGGCTTTGTTCCGCAGCTCAAAGCCTTCGTCTTGGTTTTCGTACCAGGTAGCTTTGCTCCTGTCGTACGATGGCTGCTTGTTCCTGCTCACTCCTGTGAGCTGGATGTTCGCGCTCCGGAGCTCACTCCTGGAGCGAGCCGTTGCTTCGTGCAGATCTTCAATCGGCTGTATCTCAATCAGTTCTTGATGTATGAGGATGCTTCCAGCATGTAACTGGTGTAGTTAGCTCCTCTTTCCACTGGTAACCTTGGTGGTAGGTTAGAAGCCGTTCAATCGCTTCCATCGTGTAGTCAGTAGGGGAAATTCGTGATGCGGAATTCGCCTGTGAAGCTGGTTTGGTAGCCCTTATAGTGGAGCTCCAGCACTATCTGCCTGCACTGGTTGTTGCACGGGTTACCTTATAGCCATAGACTTGATATTATGTAATAGGATGTCGACGTCGACTTCGCCATTGGCGAGGAGATGAGCTTCTTGGAAATAGTGTTGGTTGCTAGTAACACTCTAGCTTAGTAAAGGTAAAATACTGTTTTACTGTTAAGCTATTTCCAAGAAGTGATCTTTCTCCATGTTTTCTGGGATTGATTCAACTTCAAAGGATATAGTGAAGGGGGTGACCATATAGATCAGTTAAACTCCCCATGTATGTAACTAGAGAATAGATATAGATATCCCCTATCAACTAGATTGGGATAAACGACTAATTTGTATTGAGGTGTCTGTAATACAACCTCCAACAACCGAAGCCAAAAACCATGAACGACGACAACACATTCACTATCGGGGTCAACACTGAACGCCCAGAGGCAAACAGGGAAGTCATGATCTATGAACTAGACAGGATTGAGGGTGCAGGAGACAAGAAGAACTAGCTTTTCAAAGGCTTCTGGATTGTCTTGCCTATTGACATCAGATTCATCTTGGATGACATGTCCACCACTCCCTGGAATGCTCATGTAATTGCAAAAAACAAGGTTTTGCTTTCCATACAAGCTTGGGACTACTCTTGTCTCTATGACAGAGACGAATTCAAAAAGAAGGTCAAGTCCAATGAGCTAGAAGCTATGGATGGGGCTCATCATGACGTCTATGACGACTACTCTGATGAAATGAAGGAGGAGAGAAAGTGGAAGCATCTAGTGTTGGAATTTCCAGAGAAAGTGCAGTTGTCTGCCAAGGAAATCTACGGTGATGCGGGCCGAGATAACAAGCTAGAGCTTCAACTGATTCCCGTCACAGTGACACATCCCAAACAACCAAAGATGAAGTACACTTCGATGTATGCAGCCTGGAAAGTAGCCCGAACCGACATTAAGGCTCGCAAAAAGGGCAAGGTTGGAAAGAAAGATAACAAGAGTGACGCTGCACGCCAACTGGAGGATTTGATGAATGGTATGACGCTTGGCTGAGAGCTCTTTGTGTTGCCAAAAGTAATTTACTAATGAACGTTTTGTGTCATTCCAATTGTCTATTTTGTATTAGGCGTATCTATTTGTAATGATTCCAAGCCAGCTGGACAATCAGACTCTGAGGACAAGGAGTCTGAAGACGAGGAGTCTGAAGACGAGGAGTCTGAAGAAGACGAGCGGATGAAGATCTGTGATATTGAAACGTTACCAGCCCCAGTGTGTAGCAAGCCAACTGTCAAGACTAGTCCTGCATTCTGTCTGGAGACAGCGCCAAAACTTCCACCCATCCCTCAAGGCATACCATCAGCCTTGTTCGCTGCTGTCCCAACACTTAGTCTGGCTCCCAATTCACCTCCAAGGGACACCCAAGAGATGACGGAGGAGCTCCGCAAGAACTCGTTCAAGCCACACCCAAGTAGCAAAGTTTCACGTGCCTACATGGCGGAGCAGAGGAGGAAGGAAAGGAGAGCAGAGAAACAGAACCAAGCCAGATTGAAAACCCCCACCCCTGGCATTGATGCAAACTTCCTCCAGGGTCTTATCGTTGCCGCAGATACCTCCCATGAGAAGACAAAAGAAATAATGGCAAAGTCAACCACCTCACCTGAGGCGAGCATTGGTGCAGAATCAGAGGCGGACACAGACGCTGAAGACTCCGACGATGAAGACTCGGTTGATGCTTACCGCCATGCTCGCCGAATGGAAAAGGCACATGAATTGCTGAAGGAAGAAAAGGGCGGTGACATTGCTTGGTGTGATGCCATGGTTGCTGATCTTGAAAACTTTGTTTCTGAAAATGAAGCAGGCCTTGACGATCTCCTCGCAGAGGATGATCTCAATGCGCTGCTGGGAGCAGAGGATAGTGGAAGTGACGGTGAAAGCTGTGGCACCGGTACTGGGACCATCAAGAGGAAGCACTCTTGGAATGAAGCCAGTAGTAGTGATGAAGAAACTGACACGGACAATGAGATGGATGGAGAAGACTCAGTGGAGCCTCCTACCAAAAGGAAATAATGGATCATTGCATTGGAGCTTGGCAGAGATGGATGTTGAAAATTGCAGCTTGTTTTGAAATCTTGTAGTTACACATAACAAACCCGTTTAGTTTACCCATTCAAACTCATTCAGCTAGATAGCTTGCGTCAGGAAGAGAGCTAGCCAGGAGCTTGAGGGGAGAGCGCTAGCAAACGTTGTTGTGATGAAGGGAGCCAGCACTGTCAATTGCACCGTCAATTGCACTATCAACTAACTATCTAAGTGGTTACTCTAGCTATCTTTCCATTTCCAAGTCCATAATAATACCACCGACTGCCTCATCCTGATCCGGCAACACTATCCCTTCCTTCTTTAGATTCTTTCGCAGTTTTTCTTCAGCTCTATATTCAAGAGTGTACAGATACTTCTTGGTGCGGATCTCTTGCCTAATCTTCCACCTAAAGTCATTCTTTCTTGAGAAGGCTTCTTTGTACTCTGGCCTTGTCTCCCAGAGCTCAGAAGGACGTATCGTCTCATGCTTTCCTTCCACCATGTCCTGCTGTAATAGTGCTTGCGCCAAGGACCCATTCCATTGGGGCTCACCACGGTGATTCAATTCAGGCACTGGGTGATTCTTCATTGCTTTTTCCAGAGCTTTCCTATCACTTGCTGCCCTCCCTTGATCTCTCTTTACAATAGCTCTCAAACTACTTAGACGAGTAGCAAAGTTGCCATTGAACTCCATACCATCCATTTGAAACTCAAGTGTGTTGTGATATGTGCACCAGACCTCGGCTGGTCCCATCTCCTGTTCATTCAGGGGGATCCTGCCTTCTGCGATTTCCTTGTAGAGGAGAATCCTTGCTGGATGGTTTTCATTCCAAGTCAGGCTGATTTCCTTCTTCTTCTTCTTTGTCTTTGTTCCCTTCTCAGCCTTCCCTTGACCTCTTTTTATCTGTTCTCTCAAACGCCTTAGGCGGCTGGTGAATGTGCTGTTGTACTCCATGCCCTCCACTTGAAATTCCACTGTATCGTGATATTTGTAGTAGACTTCAGCTGGTCCCATTTCGCTGGAATCCATAGGGATTCTGCCTTCCTTGATTTCCTTGCAGAGGAGAATCCTAGCAGGGTGATTTTCATCCCATTTCTGTGGGGACATGATACCTATCCGATCCAGACTGGAGCAGCCCACCCAAACTTCTTCCTTTGTGGCACGAAAGGTCGATCGCGTCGATCTGTTGGGCAAAGATAGAGTCAATCGTGTTGTGTGCGCTTCGATCGGCAAACTCGAGTTGTGCATGTCAATCACGTAAACTGAGCTGCACGACCAAAATGTCTGGGTCGATCGCTGAAAAGGACCGCACGTGGCAGGAACACTATCGATCACTGGCTTCCATCCGAAAGCCTGTGTTCCAAGAACACTGGCTTCCCATCGCGAGAAGCCAGTTGGAAGCCAGTGATCCTCGGATCGAAGCCAGTGATCCACAAGCCAGTGATCCGCAGTGTTCTTCAAGCAAAGGAAGTGATCCACTGTCGCAAGCCAAGCCTGTTGTAAAGCCAGGCGCTAGCAAGCTCAAACCAACAAAAAAGCTACTTTCACGATTTTTCCTTTTTCCATTTCTACTATGACCCCTATAAGCCTTTTTACCTCGAGGTGCTGTGCTTGTTTAGAATTCCAGCACTTGGAACTAGCTAGTCTAGCTACTAGTAGCTTGCCTGGGATACTCATATGTTACCAAACATGTTGACTTTAGTCGTTACTTGCTTTTCAGGAATTGCTCAAAGAGGAAATCAAAGATACCGGTAGCTTCAAGCAGCAAAGATACGGCTGAGCTCAAACATGCAGCAAGCTGCCTAGCAACTAAGATAAAATGGAATGATTCTGGTTGGTGGCTACAGATAGATTACTTGGAATAGATAGTTTTTAAAAGGATTCCAAACCCCTGGTTGATGCGCATCAGCCTTTTGTGAAAGTATTACCGGTCGGTAGTATTGCTGCCTGCCTGTGGAGCTTTGCAGCAAATAAATTGATCTCGATCCAGTGTCAAGTCATGATGAAGCAGTCAATAAAAGGAACTAGCGCTTGAAAGCACTTTGGTCAAGGGAACTGGAGGCTTTGCGTTTGAGGCCCGATCTCTTCTCCTCGGCAGCATTGTTGCCTTTTCCTCCACAAGAGGAAATCCATTTGTCAGGTGCTTCCCGCAAGAGCCCATAGAGCATTGGGACAAGCTGTTTGTCACAGATCCCTTCCTGAGTACCTGCTCGTGAAATCACAGAGGTCATTAGTTGGGCCATGTTCAGAGACTTTTCTGTGTCTTGCAACAAATAATACCTACCACAGCGATTGAGTGCTGTGTAGTAGTCAATGACTTTCCCCTTTTTTCTTTTCTTGGGTATGGTACGCCATTTTGTGCACCAATTGATCTCGACATTTGTTAGAGTTGTATTCCACTGCAAGATCTCAATCACGCGGTCTTGGTATGTATCAGTCTGCTTCGTACCGGCACTGGTAGCTTGCAGTACTGTGAGCTTGAACTCTTTCAGGTTGGAGGCATCGCCGGCTTTCGCTAAAGCATTCAAAAGTGGCAGAAAGAACCCTTCTTCTGTATCAGATTCCATACTGGAGTCGATTTCGAGAGACTGCAACAGACCAGATGCAATTTTGGAGGAGATTGCTTCAACCATGTTACAATCAATAGAATCTCCCAAGTGGATTGGCAATTTCAAAAATTCTAGGTTTGGCATGTCCTGCACCTTCGATGCCAATGCTGACCTTGTTCCATCCATCTCACCAGGTGTCCAATGCATGGAGACGTCAATTCGCTTGGAAGAAATTGGGAGATATTGTATCATTTTGCTGAGGAAAGCATCACTGATCTCACATTTACCTGTTAATATGTTAAATGCCTCGGTAAAAGGGCTGTTGGTCTGTTTAGGATTGTTGGAATACATTAGGACTTCTGGAAACGCAACAAAGAGAGTCTCAAACTTCTCTTGCTGTCCTCTTTCCTGCATCCACCACATGATCTCAGCAATCCTTTTTGGTTCAAGTACGCTGGGATCCACTACATGGCCCTTGAGAAACTCAATGACATCACTCCTGGGACAATGCCAACAGGCATCCCGGAAGACATCATCCGTCATCACTGCTGGATCTGCTTGGTAGACTAAGCGAACCATCGCCAAAGGTGCTCCTGTGACCACCAAGCTGTGAAGTGGCGAAAGGTCCTGGAGGTCATCTAAGTACACAAACTCCCTTCCGTATTCCTCTGATATTTCAGTCTCAAGAAGCGGCATGGTTCTTCAAAATGATCAAGAAGTGTCACGGCTTGCCTGTCGGTTGTGTTTTCGCTGTTGCGCCCTCCCTGAGGTTTGATGACGCGAGAAAGCAGCTTTATTAGAGCCTATTATGATAGGTGGCCAGGAGTCGACGGTCAATAGAGTGTAGTCAAGTAGGCATGTAATTCCAGGTTTAAAGGTTCATGGTCGAGAATCAGAATCTCAACATGGCGACGGTACTAGTACTCTAGTAGAGTACCGTACCGTAGCCTCTTCAAGTTTGTGCTTTGCTTCCAATCAAACAAACAGCTTTGCTGCTTTATATTGCAAAGGTGGAACGCGGCATTGGAAGTCAAGCCACTGTTCAGGAGGGGCTCCGGTAATCCCCAGATGACGTCACAATAAACCCCAAAGTGTTTGGCGAGTCATGAGAAGTCGCGAATAGTCGCTTAGAGTCGCTCGATTAGACGCGGATTACCTAACGAGTCTTCACGATTCCACGCGACTCCTCACGACTCCTCGCGACTAGCTTCTTAAGTACTTGTATTTTTCCTGATATGGTGTCGCGACTCCACGCGACTCCACGCGTCTCTACGCGACTTTATACGCGTTTGCGCGCGACTGCTCGCGATTGCACACGACTGTGTTCGCCACTGCACTCGCGCGACTGCTGTTCGGGGTGGATCGCCAAAAGGCCCGGAAACCGGAGGCCCTCCTGGCCCATTGCACAAACGTTGTTTTTTAGAGTACATGTACATGTACAGCGCAGGCAGATTATCTACGGAAGCCACGAGGGCCAGGCTCTTCATTTTTTAATTTTAAAAGTAAAGAAAAGCGGAAATTCAGGTTCCGTAGGTACAGCATAGAACTAACTAAGAAAGAGCCACCAGCCAAGCAATTAGTTAGTGCAAAATGAATGCGGCAAGTCCCGCTAGAAGAACCGCAGAGGATACGAATAATGGAGCTGGACTTATGGCAGCACTCGCAGGAGCTTCGGTAGCTGCAGTGGCAGGCGCTTCGGTAGCTGCTGCGGGAGGCAATGACAAGGTGGCCACTTGCTGGCCAAATAAATTGGGAAGAATCAAAGCCGGTTGATCCGGTGTTTTCAAATCGAGTTGCATATCGGCGGCCACCGATCCCACCGAAAATGGTTCACACGTACTGGTACTATCACACTCAAAGACCGTCCCATTCCACGGGGGCGCCGCGGAAAATTCCCACACCGACACGTATAATTTGCCATTCCAAAAGACAATGCCATCTCCAAAACTAGGTGGACCTTGTGCAGTGCTTGTCAATGCAACAATAGTATCTAGGGAGAAGGGTTCTGTGTTTCCCACCTCGGACTTGGAGATGTCGTACTTGGTGATACCAGCTACTGTACGGTGTACCATCCAAACTGTGTTGCCTTGTACCACACATCCGTTGGGAGACAGACCTTGTCGCCGGAACACCAACGTCATGGTTGGATTGTTATCTCCAAAGTCAATTTGCAGCAAGGCATTGGCCAGTGGATCCGTCACAAACATGGTGGATTCGTCGTCCGACAAGCACAAACCATTGGGTGCCGCAATGTAGTCGCTCGTGTTGTACAGTTGCTTTAGACGGAGGCTGCTTTGAGCTTGATCCACAAACTCCAGCTCGGCCACAGCGCCATCATGAGCGGCCCAGATTGTGTCGCCGGCACCATTCATGGCAAGTCCACGAATGTTGGTAAAGTTGGGCGCTGTAAAACTCATATCGCGGTTTCCCTCCAAATCATACTTGAGAATGGCAGCTCCATCGCGGTTCATTTGACCCACATAGTAGGCGGATGATGTCGCCACGGCACTTTCCGGATTGCCGGGAGTCACAAAGCTAACTGCTCCGTACGCCGGTGAGGAAGCTGCCAGGACGACAAGAAACAACGGAGCGAGACGAATCATGGTGGCAATAGTTAGTTAGTCAACGTCGTCTCGTCTAATGAAAGTGACAGTCGAGTATTGGGGCTGGGGCTGTGGAATCTTTTGAAGCTTTGCTTGGATCTTGGCTGCTTTTGTGTTGCTCTGGGTGTTTTTTCTAAAAACACACCCTCTCACTTATGGGACCGTTGGCCCCAGGTTTAACCGGTTTTGTATTTTTCAATATACCGGGCAGACCCCGGTGATCTCTGACCCCGTTTATTGTGGTGGTGGTGGGTTTGGTTGGTTGGTTATCCTTTGGGTTAGAGATTTACTTCAACCCCCTCTTTCTCACGCATTCTCATAATAATCATACGGTAGCAACGGATCCTAATATTTTCCTCACGATGCCCACCTCTAAACTCCCGTAAGCTACCACGCCACTTTCTCAGATGGAAAAATCTATTGACTCACGTTGCACACCTCTAAACTCCCGTAGCTACCACGCCACTTTCTCAGATGGAAAATCTATTGACTCACGTTGCACACCTCTAAACTCCCGTAAGCTACCACGCCACTTTCTCAGATGGAAAAATCTAATGACTGGCCTTGTACACCTCTAAACTCTTGTAAGCTACAATGCCTCTTTCTCAGATGGAAAAATCTTACGTCTCATGTTGCACACCTCTAAACTCCCGTAAGCTACCACGCCACTTTCTCAGACGGAAAAATCTTACGTCTCATGTTGCACACCTCTAAACTCCCGTAAGCTACCACGCCACTTTCTCAGACGGAAAAATCTAATGACACTACCTTCAGCCAAACTTTAACAATATTATTATGCCCGCCCATCTTTCAATTCAGCTCGCCCGGTATATCTATTACACCTCCGGTGTCCTTTATAGTTAGCAGTAATTTGACAGTTAGATGGTGGTTGTGAGGAGGCAAGGAGGCAATGAACCAGCTGAAACAAGGCTGATACCGGTACCTGGTAGTGAAACTGTAAGTAAAGTCAAGTGATCTTGGAACATAGGAACCTTCCTGCCATTTCAACCTTCCAAGCAAATAATCTTCACCATTCGTATTGCGCACTTGTACTGCTGGTGAAGCCTAGCTAGCTAGCTAGCTAGCTAGTATTGGAACTCCTGTGAGGGGTCGTTAGCAATGCATGATTGGACTTCAATAGCACACTTTATCGGTTGAAGTTGATTCATTCAGTTTGAAAGTTCTCTGACGTTTCGACGAACAGCCACAAGTCAAAGCTCGTCAAAGCTGCTTCGATGGAAGTCAAAGCGGGTTTCCGCCTACAAAAAGCTCAGAAGAACTACTCTCCTCTTTCTTTTCAGTTCTCTTTCTATTTGCTCTCATCTCACAAACCCAAAGGAACACAAACGAAACCAGATAAAAACCATGCCTTCTCACCAACAACAGACAAAAACAAACACAATGACTCCTTCGGAGTTCTTCTACACCTTCCATCTTGGCTATACCAAGACCCCCACTGAAGCAGCGGGAGACAAGGCATATGTTCGTCAGATTGAAAACCGCTATGCCGGAGCGATTTGTCTTGCCATTGGCAGTGGTGGAGTCTACACGCAAGAGCAAGTGCGTTACCTCCGAGGCTTTGTGACCATTACTTCCCAAGAAGACACAACATTGGTGGACAGGGTGGAGCCAATGCTCAAGGAAGCCGCCGACTTGCTGGACGTGGAGCTGGTTTCCAGTAGCAGCTACTTTACCGATTTACAATTTTTGAAGGATGCTGGGAGGAGCATGGTGTATGACATGTACACTTGTGCAGCACTTGCTGACTTTCCAGAGCCGCAAATGGTGGCCATATCCCTGATTGCTGAAGAGCTGGGGGTCACTGAGTTTGGACTTCTGGAAAAAATTCGAAAACAAGTGGAAATGGAAGTGGAACTGAGAAAGAACCGGATCAAGTTACTGTACCCTGAAGGTCATGACATGCTGGAGCCGCGGTATGCAAACCTTCACAAGGGGAATTGAATTGAATCAGTGTTGGGCAAATCGTTACGAGGGGAATCGAATCAGTGAGGGGCTATCACGAGCCTGATATCAGATAGATCATCTGAGGCCAAGATCCAAAGCGTAGCAAGTAGTACGAGGCAGCTAGTTTACAACGCTTCCTCATTACAGCCAAAGAGGCGGTTCCTTATATTCCGCGGTATCGCTTACAAGCAAACAAGAGAATGGGAGACACCGACCCCCTATCTACTACAGCTTGATGACAACTAGCAACTTTGTAGTTAAGTTAGTCACAGAGTCAGTACGCTACCTTGTCGAGGACTCTTCTTCCTCCTTTTGAAGAAACATCCCAATGAGTACCCTACTCATGTCACGAATGGTGTCTTCGGCTGGCTGCAGCTCTTGGATGCCCAATTCATCGACCAGTCGTTGCTCGGCTTCGACTTCCTTGTCTCCAATAGGAATGGCTCCTCCGTCAAACGCGGCATCGTACGAAATGGGCGATGGCGGCGTATACTGCAAAGCGCGACTCTCATCCTCCAAAATACGCGCTACCACTGAGGACGACAATCGTCGTTCCGTGGATACAATGTACCTTCCTTCAATGTCTTCCTGCTCGGCTTGGACGTGCGCTTGTGCGATATCCCGCACGTCGACAAAGAGCCGGGATTGTACTTGCGAGGATCCTTGAATCCACTGTGCGACGAGTTGTGTGGAAAAGGAGGAGCTGCTTGTGGCTGTGTCCGCCAGAGGCCCAAAAACAAAAGAAGGACAGAGTGCTACCATGGGGATCTGGAACTCTTGACAAAGTTGTTTTGCCCGTCGTTCCGATTCGGCCTTGGACCATTGATAGCTGGCACCCCAATTGTTGTCGCCCAACTTGGACAAAGTATTCCAATCCTCATGAGTATAGAACTGTTGGTTCTGTGGTTCCTGTCCCGTGGCTCGTACCGCTGCCATGGACGATGTCACAATGAGTTTGATCCTGTTGTTGCTCTTTTGTTGGTTTTTGAATTCTGCCAAGACACGGACAAGATCCTCCGTGCCCTTGACATTGCCTTGTGCCGCTTGGACGTGGTTATCAGTAGGACTGAACCAGGAAGCAATGTGATGGACACACACGCCATCGGCCGATGCCACACACGGCTCGCCAAATAGAACCTCTTGGAGCGACGTTCCTCCATCCAGCATGTCATAGGGACGTACCAGTACAGTAGTACTAGTAGTACACTTGTTGTTGGCCTCTTCTTGTTTCTTCCAGTACTCTTGTTCCTCTTGGACGCGTGACGGTCTGACCAAACAGAGGATCGTTGTTGTGTCATTGTCGTTTCTTTCGGGGAGGATGTTCCTTTGGATCAATGCATGTGCTACGGCTCGGCCCACGTATCCACTGGCTCCAGTGATCACCGACGCGGTTGATGATGACAATGCCTCCACTACTGGAGCTGCTACTACTACTAGTAGTGCTAGCAGTATTAGACATGATGCAAACGATACTCTTCTTCTTCCTATCAGTGCAGACACCCTCCTGCAATGACTACTGCTGTGGCTGCGGCTATCACTCTTCCTACTACTATGGTGCAATGGAACGTGGGATTTTGGTCTCATGGTTTGCTTTCTTCCATTCATGTCATGTCAACCTGTCATTCGGTCCTGTCCTGTTTTGTTTGTCATACGCACAGCCTTTGGGTATCTTTGAACCTCAGTATGGTTGGTTGGTTACCTAACTATTTGCTTGCAGACAGTGATAGCTAATAGCTAAGTGTCAGACGAGTGCCGGAAGGAACCAATCAATCAAGGAGCAAGTTGGAATGGGGGTGCCAATGTGCCAATCAATCAACCATTGTGATCGGATGCTGGGATGGATGGTCGCCATGGTTTGTAAGTCCATTAGCTCCAGAATTCTTTTGTGTCACGCTGCGTATCCATCAGTTCAGGGTTCAATCAATCAATGATGTCAGTCAGTCTTAGGGTTAGAATTTCGTAGAAGAACAGACAGCCGAAGGCTGATGCCCTCAACTGTCAAAAAAGAGATTTGATTCTTTGGCCAAATCCAACACTGTGTTCAACTGAACACACAGTCTACTGTAGTCTATCGATAGCCAACCAAAACACACACATTGGTACTCGGAGTATGTTTTACCAGCTAACAATTAATATTTACCTCATCCTTTATGACGGACGTACAGACTAACTTGCACACATACTCTGGTACTCGGAGTATGTTTTACCTGCTAACAATTATTATTTACCCCATCCTTTATGGCGGACGTACATACTAACTTGCACACACACATAGTTTGGTACTCGGAGTATATTTTACCAACTAACAATTATTATTTACCCCATCCTTTATGCCGGACGTACACACTAACCAGCACACACAGAGACGTACAGACTAACTTGCACATACAGCGATAAAAGTGTGAAAGACCCTCAGTCGGTTGAGGGCAAGGCCATTATATATAAACCAGCAGAACCGCTACTAGTAGGCCATTCTTCTTCCTCTAAGTATCTTTTGTCTCTTAAATCTTTTTGTGGATGTGGTACAGAAGAATCTGGTGAAATCTTCTTCTCACTTTTCCCGGCAACTACCTGCTCTTTCTTGTCGATGACCATGGCAAGGGTCCGTTGCTACCTCTGGCGCACTTTTGTTCTTATAACTATACCATCTTTGCTGCAACCATGCTCCAATATCGACCTTACCATTATCAGCTAGGGCTGCTGCTGCTTCTCTTGCTCGAAAAACACACTGTGATACTAGCCACGACGTCCTCCTCGACCAACAACACGACGACACGGCACGATTCTGCCTTGTACAATCGTCTTCGAGGCTACTATGCACTACAACAACAGCAAACACCACTACATGTAGAACGCATCATTGACAAGGGCGCCATAGCTCAATTAACGGAAAAGGGCGTCGATCCCTCTTCGGATCAATTCGTCTATCATCCTCCCGGACACGAAGCCAATCACAATGCGTATCCATTCTTTGGTCATTGGTCGCATGCCATGTGCGGCGTCTCTATTGTCCACGACGATATAGTCCTCACGGCGGCCCACTGTGGTCGCAAGGCGATGGAACCCCATTGGCGCAAGAGTATGCGGTTCTTGAGCAAGTTTCGAAAAGAAGGTGGCATTACCCGAGCAGTGGCGCACATGGAACCGCATCCCGACTTTTTTCAGCCGCAGCAAATTTACGACTTTCAATTGGTCAAGATTCAAGCCAGTGCGTTGGTAGCTACCAAACATGACGACAACAAGCAAGTGGGGGCACCCACGGGAGCCCAAATTGTCAAACTCAACTACGATTCCAACAAACCAAAACCGGCAGACGAAGTGCAAGCGGTGGGATTCGGGACCGTTACTCCCGATGGGAGTACTGGCAATTCCCGCGTCTTGATGGATGTTACCCTGCAAGCATTTTCCAATGAACACTGCGAACGACAATACGGTGGTCAAAAGATCAAAGGAGATGTCATGATTTGTATTGGGAGTCTCGATGGATCCAAAGATACCTGTCAGGGTGCGTATAGCAGTATCGAGCAACCTATTGTGTATGTGTGTTAGTCGCCAGAGACTAAGATTTTTTGCTTTATTCTTTCTATCCATGCATACCTTCGCAGGCGACAGCGGTGGTCCCATGCTGGACATTCACAATGTACAGGTTGGTGTGGTGAGCTGGGGTGAGGTAAGCAAACTACTTGCAGAGAGTGCAGTGCATACATCACATACATGGTGCAAGCTTGGCTCAAAAAGACAAATCGGCCTACTCTTTCTACTTTTTTTTTGTACTACAGGGCTGCGCCGAGGCAGATCATGCTGGATTGGCCAGTCGAGTGAGTGCCGTCACGGACTGGATTGAACGAGAAATCTGCCGACTCAGTGCCATGCCTCCCAAAACATGTATCGAGCGCAACATGCCCACTACCTGCTTTGACAAGCGATTGCCTTCGGGAGACAGTGAAGATGACAAGGGAACCTTTCAAATGCGGGTCACGGTACAACACGACCATTCTCCCAAGGAAACTTCCTGGAGTGTGACACATATCGAAAGTGCAACACTCTTGTATTTTCAGCCATTTGAAAGTGTCCCAGAACCATTCGTTGACGTGTCGCATGTCTTTCACAACCTTGTCGCGGGGACCTATAATTTTGCGATTAGTGATACCGAAAAGGATGGTCTATGCTGCGAGTTTGGACAAGGCAGCATTGTGATAACCAACCACGGGACTGAGCAGGTTTTGTGGGAGCATAATGGCAAGTTTGAAGAGTTCCTCGGAGTCACTATCAAGCTCGATGAGGCAGGCAATGTAGTTTCGCTCGAGGAAGCTACCGAATGGATCAATCCGAGTGTCCGTGTCAGCAAGGCCAATGAGGACAAACTCGCAAATGCAAATGGCGATGCAACACCAGGGAACAACGAAAAGCTGGATGGATAGTAGAATCATAGTAGTTTGTGAGGGGCACTGCCAGCCATGGCTGTTACCGAGTTGCCAAATTATTGGTTGGGCCCATAACTATAGCCACTTTCCGGTAGACTACTCCGTAGCTAGCTAGTATCCAGGTTGAGCGAATTGTCGCCAGCAGCCAAGTCCAATACCCCACACTGAAAGCTATGGAGTACCACAGCAGTATTCGGGGTCGTCCAAGCAAAGACGGCTGCTAGCTAGACCGAGTGGGTGCAAAGCCAGCTGCGCAGGGAGGACACGGTGTGTTCTGGGTTTGCACCAGTGATACTGTGACCAAGCCAGCATCTGGCTGGGGGTTGTATCGTCAATAACTGTGGCCAGTAGCCTACTTGTCGCTTTCTTTTTTCAAGAAGAGTGGGAGATCAGTCGTTCCAGCATGCTTTGAAGTTTGAAGCCTCCTTGTAAATAGGACTTGATGCACGCTTCTTCCTATAATCTACTCAAGAGTTAATAGCTAGACTATCCACCTATCTATCTAGCCGTCCACTACTAGCTATCCGCTGGCTACTGGAGTAGAAAGAAGCGAGAATCTTCAATAATCCATGGCTAGCTAGAGTACTGAACTGTTTTGCAATCGCTCTTTGACGAAGCCGCCGAATACTACTGTGGGTTTGTAGGTGCCTGAACCCCGACAGCTACCTGGTAGCAGTACATGCAACTCCGCAACTCGCATAATAAAAACGACGTCCATTGTTCAACAGTCAAGCAAGACGATATCAAAGGTACAGTACTAGTCACCCGAACCTACTTGCTTTTGACCACTGGCTAGCTAGCTACTTCGGTCCGATCCAGCAACCCAGAGCCATCGAAGGTCAATGGAACTGGAGGGCAACCGAGCTACAGTGAGATTGCAGAGGTAGAGAGAGTCCTCAACCTGTGGGCCTGTGGAGCCATCAAGCCATCAAGCACATGTAACCACCAGGGTTGGATCTTGGATGGGAGTTAAAGCGTTGAAGCCACAAGAGTCCTTATTCCATGGCTTCACCAATTTTAATTAGCAGCCGACCAGTAGCCTTGAGTAGCCTCGATTACTCCGTTCAATAGGGATTTATTGACAAGATTTATTGCCTCCAACAACATTCTTTTCACATTGCCACAATTATTATCACCCATCCTCGGTATTCTTTCGAAACAGAAAGAATAAAACATACCTTTCCTCTTGGCCGGATATTTGCTTAGAGGCGCGCACCTTGGGCTGACAACGCCAGATTTAAAGAACCGGTATTCAACTACAACGAGGGCAAAAATGCAACGCTGGGCACTCCAGTTCAAGTTTTGACCATAGACTAAATAAATCAACTTAAATATTTTGTATTGCTAGTTTTATTTCGGTGAAGGCTGGCGTCCGGAAGCCTCTTGCCTCCGTTTCGACAGGAAAAATACAAAACCAACCAAGCCACCATGACAAAGATGCCGTCGTTTTCCACTGTTTACAGTCTTCTCAAGTGTTCTTCATCATGATCTTCTTGAGAGGCGTCATCTGCTGGGACAACTCCGGCTCAACTTCGAAAGAATCATCAGAGAGCGAGAAGGAAGAGCGTGGGGGTGGGGTTTGACGGCGATTGCGTCCATTGCGTCCATTGCGTCCATTGCGTCCACGGCGACTCGGAGGAGCAGCCAAAATTTCTTCGTCGTAATTGGCAACAGCTGAAGGAACTGAGGCAGGAGGAGCTTTCGGCAAATCAAGGTGCTTCTTGATGCTATGAAAGTTGAGAGTCACAACAAAGTTAGATTTCGTCTTGAGAATGATTGCTTCATGAGTCGCCAGAACCACTTTGTCCACATCCGTGTGTTCCTTGGCGAGGAAGTCAACAATCTTCTGAAGGGTTGCATGATCGAGGATCACGTCGCCGGTGAATACAGCCTCCATCCTTGCATCCTGAGTCTTCCCAAGCTCAATCGCCTAGTTGATAGCCTTGTTGAGTTTCTTCAGATCGCTCTCTTTGAGTTCAGCCATCTTGAACTCTTCGCTTGCACCCACGACGGCGATGTGAGAATGACTGCTACTGTAAATGGTTGGCATGATGCTGCTTGTCAATTTATGAGCTCGGAGCCTTGGGTCTTTGGCTGGTTGAGCGGAGTGGCTTCTCCTCAAAACCGACGGAGAATTTGAATTCAAATTGGTTGTGTATTGACCCGAGGAATCTTCCATCCTCTTGTCGACATCATCTCATTTTCTTTCTACCGGTATCATGGCACAACGTTGGCAGACAGTTGCAACTCTCCGTGGAGAAGAAGCGGGTCAAGCTCTGGCTGCATTGGAAGTCACCCGCACAGACGGAACCATCATCAATCTTTCTGGCACTGTCAAGCTCCAACGTTTCAGCGACTCCATCCTTTTTCGGTTGTGTGTATTCCCTGCCAATGACACCACGCACGCTACTGCCATCTTTTGTTTGCCCGCGGACTCCCCTTATGAGATGGAACGAATCCAAGGAGTGAGGAGTATCAATGGCACCAGAGCTCTCCGGATGACTTTGTCGGTGGCACCACCTGCAACCGAGGATTTTTCTCGGATTACGCTCCGAATTCCTTATGGCGACAATGCTACCCTTTTTGGAGAGGCACTCAGGTTTGCAGAGCAGAGTGTTAAACGTGCTTTTGAGTAGTCGCCCATTGATCGGTAGATGTAATCAACTATTAGAATTCGTTGATGCAAATTGCCACTTGTAGTAGAGCCACCGGTTCGTACTAGCCAACAGGCCGATGGAGCCCCAACAGCTTGTCGCCAACCATTTATTCTCTCTGTTAGAAGATCTCTTTCGAAGGCTCCACAATCGACGGTGGTTTGTGCTACCCACATCTGAAGATATAGCTTCGGCAAACAACTCTATTTGCACAGTTCTAGACCTTGACTACACTACGTTCAAGCACATGATGCTAGCCATAGGCATTACCAACGAAACAAGCAACAACAACGTAGTAACTATTTGTGACAACCATGCAATCGAGGCATTGAATGTTAGATTTAAAAGAGCGAAAGTGTCGTTCAGAGTACATGATGTTACTCTAGTCAACGGAGAACAAAGACGCATGTTGTTTGTCATTCGCAATAAGCCAAGAAACACCGAACCGAATCCGACTGTGATATTCAACAACACCACCATGACACTTGGGGATGCAAGGAACACTCTGAAGCGATTTCACCACAAAAGAAGTCCCATCCACTATATTCGAAGAGGTCATGGGACCATCCAACGAGTGGGTAAGCTGCAAGCAGCAATCGACTGCTGGACCGCGGCATATTCTTCAACGCAATCGCCGGGAGTTCCAGCCAAGCGACAAGTTACACAATCGACAACAGAGACGCCCTCACAGGACAATCCAAGAAGACGCATTTCATTCACCACCTCCATTGTTGTCCCCCGTGTTGACCAACAAGCCAATGCCAACGATACCGGTATGGATTTAGAAGAAGAGGGTGTAGAAGCCATCCTCACTCCAACTTACAGAACAGAGAGCGACGATGCGTCATTGGCATTTCCAGAACTGTCGCCTATGCATGAAGAAGAGGACAATGAGATGAACACATCAATTGACCAACAAGCTTTCAATCCATTCAGTCCCTCCATGTTGGAAGATCTTCTTAGACCGGCAGACTGGAAAGAACCCCCGGAAATGACACTGGCCAAGCAGCTCGATTTTTCCAGAAGAGAGAATGGCAAGAGGCCTTCAAGGTTTGGTGATGGAAGCATCGAATTGGTGACCGGTAGACGACGCCCTGATGCATCTATGCGATGGATGGCATTGTGTGTTGCGCTGTCGTGGGGATACAACACACCCAGAGTGCCTCAGAAGACAAAGCTTTCCATTGCCGAAGCAGCATGTCGGTTGGTAGCCTTCGACAGAGGATACTTGAAGCCACCAAAAGGACACCGCCTTGCTTTTTGGTGCCACTCATTGGAGCAATCAGTCAAGACTGGTGAGGTGCTGTTACAAAACGTACTCACGTACAAAGAAGGAAACCAAGGTGGCTCTTACGCTGATGAGGTTGAAGCAATGCATCCTGGGTATATCCTAGGCATTTTCAGGAAAGCCCAAGCAGCTGAACACGTTGGCGATGAGGCATCCTTTCAGGACACAGCCTTCACAATGCGTCGGCTGACGGAGCAAGATGCTGACGAAACCAAGCGCCTGAAACTGAGCGGATGGCAACTCGCAGAGTGGTTTAAGAAGCACAAAGGCAAGTCAATTAAATCCGTGAGCAGACCGATCCTTACCGAGGAAAAGAAGAAACAGAGACTGCTGTGGGCTCAGGAAAGGCTGAGAGAGCTGGAGCAGCATTATCTTGACGGAGCAGCAGCAGCAGCAGCAGCAGAGCAGAGCGACTCGGATTCCGAAGAAATTGATGACTTCAGGGAACCTCATCCTGGACTGCCATACTATGTTTTCCTTGACGAAAAATGGTTCTATATGAACTCCAAGAGGAGAAAGATAAAGAGGCTTCCACAGCAGCCTGGAGAAGCATCAAGTACGGAAGAGCTTTATCCACCACGACGTGAAGCAAGTCAGAGATTTGTGAAGAAGGTCATGTTCATGGGCGTCATGGCGTGTCCACACTTCGAGCATGACTTCGATGGAAAGATAATGATGAAAAGAGTGAGCGAATCAGTTGTAGCAAAGAAGAGCACATTTTACAAACAGATAGTCGACAGCTACCAAATCAACCAAGAGATCCAACGTGACTGGAGGAGCATGTACGAGTGGGAGGGTCACATGACTGTCGGAGAACTCCTTGATAAAATCCAAGCTCAATCCCAGTGGTGTATAGACCAACCAACAAGAGATCGCCTTGTTCTCAGGCATGCAACGTACCATCAAATCACTGGCAAAAAGAAATGGGTCACCATGGCCGAGACGGACAAGGTGTTGGCCAAGATTGGATTATTTGAAAAAGGGAAGGAGCGATGTGGCCTTGAACTGAAGCACATTCACCTGCAATTCGTTCGTGTAAAAGGAGATGAGTATGAGAAAGATGTATCCTGCGATTCGAAATTCATGGCGGACCATATGCTGCAGATTGGAGAGGCAATTCGAAAGGTGTATCATTGGGTGGACGATGACCAAGAGATTTACCTTGTTATGGATAACGCTGGAGGCCATGGCACGAAAGACTGTATCGATCAGTATGTCAAAGAGCTGAAGGAAAAACACAACGTTGTGGTGCTTCATCAGGTGCCCCGGAGCCCTGAAACAAACCTGCTCGATCTTGGTGTTTGGATGGGTCTTCAAAATTGGGTGGAGAAACTGCATCGAACCAGGACGAAGACAAGCGCCAATGCCCTCGCAAGAACCGTGTTAGAGGCATGGGAAGATTATGACTCCTATCGAGCCTTTCGAAACATCTTTAAGCGATGGGACAAGGTGCTGCGTCTCATCGTTGCAGGTCACGGAGACAACGTTCTTGTGGACAAGGCGAGAAAGAAGGTCATGGTTCCCATCGTCATTCAACCTCCGCCTGCGACACTCGACGATGATGAACGGGAAGCTGCAGCAGACGATGAACAGGCTCTCTTTGCTGAAGAAGAGGACAATGTAAGAGAGATGGAGGAGGTTCCAGACGAGTGAACGCCATTGTCGAGGTTGGTGTCGTCCTGGTGGCCTTTAACCCATCGGAACTGAACGTCGATACCCAGTTCCCTGATCTCATCGATAACAGCTCGGCCCTCAACACGGAGGTCAAAGTCTTTGCTATTGCACTGGGGGTTGAAGAGGGTTTCAAGGGCATTGAGGGCTGCTTGGCCATCACAACCAATTGTGATGCATCCCATAGTGATTTCATGGAGAATACAGATGGTGCGCATCACGATGAGTGCCCCAATGATACCTGCCAGTTCACTTCGATGGGAAGAATGGTCACCCGGGGAAC